CCAGAGGGGCCTGCTTCAAAGGGGGGTCGGTCGCACGTTTGTGTGCGTTTGGAACTGAAAACCTTTCTGAATGGCGCGTGGGGGTATGGCAAGCGGGACGGTGCGAAAAAACCCCAGGTGATTCGCATTTTTCTACACCTGTGCGGATCGTTTCGGGTTTTCGAGAGAAAATGGCTCTAAACGCCCTGGAGGGGCCCGCTTCAAAGTGGGTCAGTCGCACGTTTTGTGTGCCTTTGGAGCTGAAAACCATCCTGAATGGTGCATAGGGGTATGGCAAGCGGGACGGTGCGAAAAAACCCCGGGTGATTCGCATCTTTCTACACCTGTGCAGATCGTTTCGCGTTTTCGAGAGAAAATGGCTCTAAGCGCCCCGGAGGGGCCTGCTTCAAAGAGGATCGGTCGCACGTTTGTGTGCCTTTGGAGCTGAAAACCATCCTGAATTATGTGTGGGGGTATGACAAGCGGGACCATGCGAAAAAACCCCGGGTGATTCGCATTTTTCTACCCTTGTGCGGATCGTTTCTCGTTTTCGAGAGAAAATGGGGCGGGGTGATGGAAAGCGGGAGATTGGGGCGGGGTGATGGAAAGCGGGAGAATGGGGCGGGGTGATGGAAGGAGTGGAATGGCGCGGGCTGATGGAAGGAGGGAGAATGGAGCCAGGTGATGGAAAGCGGGAGAATGGGGCGGGGTGATGGAAGGAGGGAGAATGGGGCCGGGTGATGGAAGGAGGGAGAATGGGGCGGGGTGATGGAAAGCGGGAGAATGGGGCGGGGTGATGGAAAGCGGGAGAATAGGGCGGGGTGATGGAAAGTGGAAGAATGGGGCGGGGTGATGGAAGGCGGGAGAATGGGGCGGGGTGATGGAAAGCGGGAGAATGGGGCGGGGTGATGGAAAGCGGGAGAACGGGGCGGGGTGATGGAAAGCAGGAGTTCGGGGCGGGGTGATGGAAAGCGGGAGAATGGGGCGAGGTGATGGAAAGCGGGAGAATGGGGCGGGGTGATGGAAGTAGGGAGAATGGGGCGGGGTGATGGAAGGAGGGAGAATGGGGCGGGGTGATGGAAGGAGGGAAAATGGAGCGGGTTGATGGAAGGAGGGAGAATGGGGCGGGGTGATGGAAAGAGGGAGAATGGGGCGGGGTGATGGAAAGCGGGAGAATGGGGCGGGGTGATGGAAAGCGGGAGAATGGGGCGGGGTGATGGAAAGCGGGAGAATGGGGTGGGGTGATGGAAAGCGGGAGTTTGGGGCGGGGTGATGGAAAGCGGGAGAATGGGGCGGGGTGATGGAAAGCGGGAGAATGCGGCAGGGTGATGGAAAGCGGGAGAATGGGGCGGGGTGATGGAAAGCGGGAGAATGGGGTGGGGTGATGGAAAGCGGGAGAATGGGGCGGGGTGGTGGAAAGCGGGAGAATGGGGCGGGGTGATGGAAAGCGGGAGAATGGGGCGGGGTGATGGAAAGTGGGAGAATGGGGCGGGGTGATAGAAAGTGGGAGAATGGGGCGGGGTGATGGAAAGCGGGAGATCGGGGTGGGGTGATGGAAAGCGGGAGAATGGGGCGGGTGATGGAAAGTGGGAGAATGGGGTGGGGTGATGGAAGGAGTGGAATGGGGCGGGGTGATGGAAGGAGGGAGAATGGGGCGGGGTGATGGAAGAAAGGAGAATGGGGCCAGGTGATGGAAAGCGGGAGAATGGGGCGGGGTGATGGAAGGAGGGAGAATGGGGCAGGGTGATGGAAAGCGGGAGAATGGGGCAGGGTGATGGAAAGCGGGGGAATGGGGCGGGGTGATGGAAAGCGTGAGAATGGGGCGGGATGATGGAAAGCGGGAGAATGCAGCGGGGTGATGGAAAGTGGGAGAATGGGGCGGGATGATCGAAAGTTGGAGCATGGGGCGTGTCAAATGTTACATCTGCTACAGTTTGTTTAGGCTGTAATGGGGTAGTTACTATGGGGTACAGTAAGTTTAGGGTTTCTTACTTGTACCCAACTCTTTCCTAGTTCAACCACTCTTGTTGATTCTGACATGGTATCACGAGCCTAGGTTAGCCACCTAGGACCGCTTGCTGCTACGGGCCCACTATTCCGCTAGACGCGCCCTCGTGCGCCCTACCTTTCGTGCGCCCTCGTGCGCCCTCGTGCGCCTTCTTTCTGCTAGTGCGCCCTCGCGCGCCCCGCCCTTCGTTCTGCCCGCGCGCAGTCCTCTGCCCGTGCGCACGCAGCCCGCTAGCCGCCCACGCAGTTCGTACCGGCGTCGCGCGGCCCCTCGAGCCGCCCGCGACCTGCCTGCACGTAGGCCGCCGCCCGTAGGCTGCCCGTCGCCCGCCGTCGCCCGTAGGCCGCCCTTACGCTGCCCGTAGGCCGCCCTTACGCTGCCCGTAGGCCGCTGCCGCCCGTAGGCAGCCCGTACGCCGCCCGTAGGCCGCTGCCGCCCGTAGGCAGCCCGTAGGCAGCCCATACGCCGCCCGTAGGCCGCTCGCGCGCAGGCCGTAACCCGCGCGCCGCGGCTGCTGCGCGTCGGCGCCTGCAGCCCGCCAGGACCCGCGCGCGTCGCCCCTTGCCTCTTCGCGACGCCTCTGCGGGACCCGCGCGTCGCCCCCGCCTCTTCGCGACACCCTTACGGGACCCGCGCGTCGCCCCCTGCCTCTTCGCGACGCCTCTGCGGGACCCGCACGTCCCCCCCCCCGCCTCGTCGCGACGCCTCTGCGGGACCCGCGCGTCTCCCCCTGCCTCTTCGTGACGCCCCTGCGGGACCCGCGAGGCGCGGCTCCTGCGCATCGCGCCGCCCCAGCGGGACCCGGGCGTCGCCCCCGCTCGTCGTGACGCCCCTGCGGGGCCTGCGCGGCGTCGCCCCTGCCCGCCGCGTCGCCCTGCCCTATCCCGCGCCCTCCCTTTGGACGGCCGCCCCTGCCTCGCCCTGCAGCAGCTGCCTTCCCGGCCCTGCCCCACCCTACAGCAGCTGCTGTCGCGGACTGCCCCGCCCTGCCGCAGCTGCCGTCGCGGTTTGCCCCGCCCTGCAGCAGCTGCCGTCGCGGCCCCGCCCCACCCTGCAGCAGCGGCCGTCGCGCCCCCCCCCCCTGTCCCTGCCTTGCACCAGCTGCCGTTGCGGCCCGGTCCCGCCCTGCAGCACCTGCCGCGGAGCCCCTAGCCGCAGTCGTCGCCCCGCCCTGCAGCAGCTGCTGCGGAGCTCCCTGCCGCGGTCGCGGCCCCGCCCTGCCGCTGTAGCGGCCCCGCAGTCGCCTCCGTCGTGCGCCTGCCCTTCCCACCACTGGTGAGCACTGCCCTGCCCGCGCTGCTACCGCTACTACTGCTGCTACTGCTGTTCCTGCTGCTACTGCTTCTCCTACTGCTCCTGGCGTGGCCAGATGCAGCTCCAGGGCCGTCCGCGTCTGTCCCTCACGCCTCCGCAGCTTCGTGAGTGGTACGCCAGTTGGGGTTGTCGGGGTGGCCATAGTGGGAGTCGTCCTGGAGTGGGTAGTTCGGGAGCTTCTTGTAGTGGCCCGGTGCAGCAGCAGTGTCGTCCGCGCGAGACTCTGTCGCCCCAGCAGCTTCGTGAGTGGTACGCTCAGAGTCGAGGGTCGCTGAGTACTGCTCGCTGCCCGTACGTTGTTAGCACGTGTGTCCGGACTGGTCAGCCTTGCGGGACGCGTGGTCACACAGAGTTCCGCTGCTTCGCCCGTCTGAGCGACGCTTGGCGTACAGAGTTTGGCGACGACGCTGAGCTCCCCGACTGGGTGGAGCTGCTTAGGCAGAGGGTCGATATCTTTGCTCTTGACTATGATGCTATTCTCACTGCAATGTATGCATTGTCTACTAGTGCCGAGGGAGCCTGTCACCTGTGTGTGCCGCCTGACCCCGGTATCCAGTCTGCTGCTCCAGGTGCCGGTGAGGCTGCCGCTCTAGGTGCTAGTGCGTCTGCTGCCCCTGGTCCTGGTGAGGCTGCTGCTCTAGGTGCAGGTGTGTCTGCTGCTTCAGGTGCTTGTGAGTCTGCACCTTGAGGTACTGAGTCTACTGAGGCACTGCACACCTTCACACTGGACTCAGGTGCTTCTCGCTGTTTCTTTCGCGACCGCACTGCCCTCGAGCAGCTCCCTAGGCCGGTTGCTGTCTCCCTGGCTGACCCCTCAGGGGGTCCGGTCCTTGCGACCTCCACCACTGCCCTCCCTTGTCCTGCTGTCCCGTCCGGCACACTATCGGGCCTTTACCTCCCCTCGTTCTCTACGAACTTGGTGGCGGGTTCTGCGCTCCAGGACGCGGGTGTTCACCAGTTCACCCCTGCCTGTGAGCGTGTGACACACTGCACGTGTGCCCAGACGGGTCGTCACCTGGCTACCTTCACTAGGCAGCCGGGGTCGGACTTGTACACACTGACCACTGAGTCCCCTCAGGTAGCGGCGTCTGCATCTGCGTTAGGTCAGTTGTCCGCCCCCTGCTCGTGTCGCACCCTGTCGCACCGGACGGTCCTCTGGCACCACCGCCTTGGTCACCCTTCGATGCAGCGCCTTCGTGGCATGCACTCTCGTTTCCTTGTCTCGGGTCTCCCCAGGTCACTGCCTCCCCTGCCACCGTCCCCGGCCCCTCCTTGCCTTCCCTGTGTCGAGGGGCGGCAGCGTGCCACCCCTCACTCCTCTGAGTTTCCCCCGACAGAGGCTCCTCTGCAGACCCTTCACATGGACGTGTGGGGCCCAGCCCGCGTCCGTGGACAGGGTGGAGAGCGCTACTTCCTGCTAGTAGTGGACGACTACATGCGTTACACCACGGTCTTCCCCTTGCGCACCAAGGGAGAGGTCCCTGCTGTCTTGATCCCTTGGATTCGCGCTACCCGTCTCCAGCTGGAGAGGCGCTTTCGCACGGACCTTCCCGTCCTGCGACTGCACTCTGACAGAGGTGGTGAGTTTTCCTCCGGCCTCTTGGAGACCTTCTGTCAGGGGGAGGGCATTCGCAAGACGTTCACGCTTCCGGCCTCTCCTCAGCAGAATGGGGTTGCTGAGCGCCGCATTGGCTTGGTCATGGAGGTCGCTCGTACCTCCTTGGTCCATGCGGCTGCCCCCCATTCTCTGTGGCCGTTTGCGGTCCGGTACGCCGCGCATCAGCTCAACCTCTGGCCCCGTGTCTCCGTTCCGGAGACCTCGCCGACACTGCGTTGGACGGGAGAGGTTGGCGATGCGCCTGTGTTCCGGGTCTGGGGATCTCGTGCCTTTGTCCGCGATACGTCCGCGGACAAGCTCTCCTCCCGCGCCGTTCCTTGTGTCTTCCTGGGCTTTGTCCCTGACGCGCCTGGCTGGCAGTTTTACCACCCCACCTCGCGCCGTGTCTTCCCCTCTCAGGACGTCACGTTTGACGAGTCGGGCCCCTTCTACCGTCTCTTCCCCTACCGCACTGCCCCGCTCCCCCCTCCGCCGCACTTCCTCACGCCAGGTGCTGCTTTGGTAGACCCCCTGCCTCCCCAGGGTCCTGCTCCCTCAGGTGTTTCCCAGGTAGACCCGGTCGAGCCTGTCGAGGTAGCTGTCGACTCTGGTCCTGCGCGAGGTACTGAGCGTGCTGAGCCTGAGCGTGCTGAGCCTGGTGGTGCTGGGTCTGGGGGTACTGAGACTGGGGGTACTGAGCCTGGGGGTGCGGAGACTGGGGGTGCAGAGCCTGGGGGTGCGGAGACTGCGGGTGCTGAGCCTGGGGGTGCGGAGACTGCGGGTGCTGAGCCTGGGGGTACTGAGCCTGGGGATGCTGTGCCTGGGGGTGCTGAGCCTGGAGGTCCTGAGCCTGGGGGTGTTGCGCCTGGGGGCGCTCTCTCTTCCCAGCAGCTGCGTGAGTGGTACTCTCGGTGTTGTCGCCGCCGCCATGGTGCAGTGGACGCTGGAGGTGCTACTGGAGCTGGAACTGAGGACGCTGGGCCTACTGGAGTTGGTGTAGCTGCTGACCCTGGGGTTGGCGCTGGAGGTGCTGGAGCCACTGGTTCTGGAGGTGCTCGTACTGGCGGTACTAGAGCTGCTGGGACTGGGGGTGCTACTGGAGTTGGTGGAGGTGGTCCTGCTGGAGGTGCTGCTGGTGCTGCTGGAGGTACTAGAGCTGCTGGAGGTGCTGCTGGTGCTGGTCCTGCTGGAGGTGCTGCTGGAGCTGCTGGAGGTGCTGCTGGTGCTGGTCCCGCTGGAGGTACTCCTGGTGCTGCTGGAGGTTCTGGAGCTTCTGGTGGTGCTGAGGGCGTTGGCGCTGCTGCTGGAGGTTCTGGTGCTGTCTCTGCTGGTTCTGGGGGCACTTCACGGCCACAGCCGTACTTCGTTCCCCTCCTTCAGCAGGTTCTTGGTCAGCCGCCTCCTCCTTGTCCTGCTCCCTCCTTAGAGTGTCCTCCGCCTGTCCAGTTGCTGTCACAGCTACAGCCTGCCTCGCCACTCCCTGGTACTTCTCCCTACACTGGTCCGACAGGAGGTCTTACGGAGCGTCGTGAGCCTGAGTCTCGTCCTGTGTTGCCTGAGTCTCGTTCTGCGTCACCTGTTCGTGCTGCTCGCACTGGTCGTCGTGTCCCGCGTCAGCGTCCTCCTGCTGTCCCAGGCACTCACCAGATGACGCTTCGTCCTTCCACTGCTCCACAGCGTGTCCCGCTGCCTTCTCCTCCTGCGTCCTCTCTTCCTGCCCTTGCTGACCCGGAGTCTGACTCTCTTCGTGCTGCTAGTCCTACTGTCACGCATCTCCTGGCCACTGCTGTCACTGACCCTTCTTTTGAGTCAGCTGCTGCGTCTGCCTTAGTTGCTGAGCTTGTCGACTTTGCTGCTCACTGTCGTCTAGACTACGCTGCGAGTCTTGTTGCTAAGTCTGAGTCTGTCTGTCCTCCGTCCGTCGGGGGTGAGTGTGCTCTTGGCACGGACGTCCTTGAGGACAGGCAGGAGGAGTTTGAGTGCTTTGCCGCTGCTGTACCTCATCTCGTGTCCATGCTGATTGCACCTGAGGGAGACCCGGATGCACCAGACATCCCGACCCCGCGCTCTTACGCTGAGGCGATCGCGGGTGAGTACTCCTCTCAGTGGCAGACAGCCATGGACGTAGAGATGGCATCCTGGAAGTCCACAGGCACTTACGTCGATGAGGTTCCCCCTCCTGGGGCGATCATCGTCAGTGGCATGTGGATTTTCAGGGTGAAGCGGCCGCCAGGTTCTCCGCCTGTCTTCAAGGCTCGTTACGTTGCTCGAGGCTTCAGTCAGCGAGAGGGAGTAGGCTTCTTCCAGACCTTCTCCCCCACCCCGAAGATGACCACTCTTCGGGTGCTACTGCACGTTGCCGCTCAGCGTGACTACGAGCTTCACTCTCTTGACTTCAGCACAGCTTTCTTGCAGGGCAGCCTGCACGAGGAGATCTGGCTGCGCCGTCCCCCTGGCTTCACTGGGTCGTTCCCTCCAAGTACCCATTGGAGCCTCCGACGGCCGGTCTACGGTCTCCGCCAGGCGCCACGTGAGTGGCACGACACACTGAGGACTCCACTTGCGCCTCTTGGGTTTGCGCCTTCTACTGCTGACCCGTCGCTGTTTCTACGCACCGACACTTCGCTGCCGCCGTTCTACATCCTCGTGTACGTCGACGACTTGGTCTTTGCCACTGCTGACATTGAGGCTCTCGCCCTGGTGAAGTCGGAGTTGCAGAAGAGACACACGTGCACAGACCTAGGTGAACTGCGCAGCTACCTTGGCTTGCAGATCACCCGAGACAGAGCACGCCGCACCATCACCCTGACTCGGTCACACATGGTGCAGCAGGTCCTTCAGCACTTCGGCTTCACCTGGTCCTCGGCACAGGCCACTCCTCTGGCTACAGGTCACTCGCTCTCAGCTCCACCTTCGGACAAGTCCGTAGAGCCAAGTGGTCCTTACCCAGAGCTAGTTGGCTGCCTCATGTACCTGATGACTTGCACTCGTCCTGACCTCGCGTACCCTCTTGGCCTTCTGGCTCGCTACGTGGCTCCTGGTTGGCACCGAAAGGTGCACATGGATGCTGCTAAGAGGGTACTGCGCTACTTGTGCAGTACATCAGGCATGGGGCTCGTGCTTGGAGGGAGGAGCTCAGTTGTTCTCACTGGGCACTCAGACGCTTCTTGGGTTGACGACCAGGCTACTCAGCGGTCGTCACAGGGTTACACCTTCAGCCTTGGCTCTGGCTCAGTTTCTTGGCGTTCTACACGCTCGTCTTCTGTTCTCAGCTCCAGTTGTGAGGCTGAGATCTACGCCACAGCCATGGCTGCACAGGAGTTACGCTGGCTCACCTACCTGCTGACTGACTTGGGAGAGCGGCCTCGTTCTCCTCCAGTGCTGTACGTTGACAACAAGGCTACCATTGCCTTGTGTGAGGAGCACAGACTGGAGCACAGAACGAAGCACATCGCTCTGCGTTACTTCCTGGCTCGAGAGTTGCAGCAGCGTGGTCAGCTTCGTCTGCGTTACGTGGCCACTCAGGCCAACACTGCTGATATATTCACCAAGGCACTTCAGTCTGGTGATCATCAGCGTTTCTGCACTATGCTAGGGCTTGTGCTCACTTTTCCTCACCTACTGTAGGCTTTGCTTATACTGTGATCTATATATATACCTGCATGCTTGCTTTGCTAGGTAGAGATCACTGTGCTGTTTGTGTTGCATATATGCCTCTGCATGTGAACTGGCCTTGTGGCTCTTTGCTTGTGCTCAGAGTGTGTGGTGACGTTGTGATCCACCCTGAGCTTGCTTTGCCTCTCTTGACTGGTCTTGTGATTCCTTGCTCTCCCCCACTTTGCCTATGGGGGTGTGTCAAATGTTACATCTGCTACGGTTTGTTTAGGCTGTAGTGGGGTAGTTACTATGGGGTATAGTAAGTTTAGGGTTTCTTACTTGTACCCAACTCTTTCCTAGTTCAATCACTCTTGTTGATTCTGACAGGGCGGGGTGATGAAAAGCGGGAGATTGGGGCAGGGTGATGGAAAGCGGGAGAATGGGGCGGGGTGATGGAAAGTGGGAGAATGGGGCGAGGTGATGGAAGGAGTGGAATGGGGCGGGGTGATGGAAGGAGGGAGAATGGGGCGGGGTGATGGAAAGCGGGAGAATGGGGCGGGGTGATGGAAGGAGGGAGAATGGGGCCGGGTGATGGAAAGCGGGAGAATGGGGCAGGGTGATGGAAGGAGGGAGAATGGGGCGGGGTGATGGAAAGTGGGAGAATGGGGCGGGGTGATGGAAAGCGGGAGAAAGGGGCGGGGTGATGGAAAGCGGGAGAATGGGGCGGGGTGATGGAAGGAGGGAGAATGGGGCGGGGTCACGTGAGGCAGATCGACAAGGGCACTGAGATGGAGAGGTGTGCGGGGCTCAATACAACACAGAGATGGAGGTGCGTTTTGAGCCGACTCGCAAGTCACGTGAGGCAGAGCGACAAGGGCACTGAGAGGGAGAGGTGCGCGGGGCTCAATACAACACAGAGATGGAGGTGCGTTTTGAGTCGACTCGCAAGTCACGTGAGGCAGAGCGACAAGGGCACTGAGAGGGAGAGGTGCGCGGGGCTCAATACAACACAGAGATGGAGGTGCGTTTTGAGTCGACTCGCAAGTCACGTGAGGCAGAGCGACAAGGGCACTGAGAGTGAGAGGTGCCCGGGGCTCAATACAACACAAAGATGGAGGTGCAGGGTGAGTCGACTCGCAAGTCACGTGAGGCAGGGCGACAAGGGCACTGAGAGTGAGAGGTGCGCGGGGCTCAACACAACACAGAGATTGAGGTGCGTTTTGAGTCGACTCGCAAGTCACGTGAGGCAGAGCGACAAGGGCACTGAGAGTGAGAGGTGCGCGGGGCTCAACACAACACAGAGATGGAGGTGCGTTTTGAGTCGACTCGCAAGTCACGTGAGGCAGACCGACAAGGGCACTGAGAGTGAGAGGTGCGCGGGGCTCAATACAACACAGAGATGGAGGTGCGTTTTGAGTCGACTCGCAAGTCACGAGAGGCAGAGCGACAAGGGCACTGAGAGTGAGAGGTGCGCAGGGCTCAATACAACACAGAGATGGAGATGCGTTTTGAGTCGACTCACAAGTCACGTGAGGCAGAGCGACAAGGGCACTAAGAGTGAGAGGTGCGCGGGGCTCAATACAACACAGAGTTGGAGGTGCGTTTTGAGTCGCCTCGCAAGTCACGTGAGGCAGAGCGACAAGGGCACTGAGAGTGGGAGGTGCGCGGGGCTCAATACAACACAAAGATGGAGGTGCGGGGTGAGTCGACTCGCAAGTCACGTGAGGCAGAGCGACAAGGGCACTGAGAGTGAGAGGTGTGTGGGGTTCAATACAACACAGAGATGGAGGTGCGTTTTGAGTCGATTCGCAAGTCACGTGAGGCAGAGTGATAAGGGCACAAGAACCCCCGACTGGTTCGCAATCTTCCACACATGCGTGCGGATTTTCTGCGCGCTGGGGCAAAACTGGTTCAAGACGTCCAGGATAGCCCGGCTGAAGCGATGTGGGTCGCACATCTGTGCGCCTTTGCAGCCGCGAATGTTTTCCCAGGTGGGAGGGGGTATGGGGAGCATGATCCAGCGCAAGAACCCCCAACTGCTTCTCAATCTTCCACACATGCGCGCGGATTTTCAGCGTGCTGGGGCAACACTGGCTTAGGACGTCCATGATGGCCCGGCTCAAGCGATGTCAGTCGCGCATCTGTGCGCCTTTGCAGCCACGACTGTTTTGCCACGTGGGAGGGGGTCTGAGGATAACGATCGAGCAGAAGAACCCCCGACGGCTTCGCAATCTTCCACACATGCGCGCAGATTTTCAGCGTACTGGGGCGAAACTAGCTTAGGTCGCCCGGGTTGGCCTGGCTCAAGCGATGTCGGTTGCGCATCTGTGCGCCTTTGCAGCCACGACTGTTTTGCCACGTGGGAGGGGGTCTAGGGAGCATGATCGAGTGCAAGAACCCCTGACTTCTTCGCAATCTTCCACACATGCGCGCGGATTTTCAGCGTGCTGGGGCAAAACCGGCTTAGGACGCCCGGGATGGCCCGGCTCAAGCGATGTCGGTTGCGCATCTGTGCGCCTTTGCAGCCAGGACTGTTTTGCCAGGTGGAAGGGGGTATGGGGAGCACGATCGAGTGCAAGAACCCCTGACTGCTTCGCAATCTTACACACATGCGCGCCGATTTTCAGCATGCTTGGGCAAAACTGGCTCGGGACGTCCAGGATGGCCAGGCTCAAGCGATGTCGGTCGCGCACCTGTGCGTGTTTACAGCCGTGACTGTTTTGCTAGGTGGAAGGGGGTATGGGGATCACGATCGAGCACAAGAACCCCGACTGGTTCGCAATCTTCCACACATGCGCACGGATTTTCAGCGCGCTGGGGCAAAACTGGTTCAGGACGTCCAGGATAGCCCGGCTCAAGCGATGTGGGTCGCGCATCTGTGCGCCTTTGCAGCCGCGAATGTTTTCTTAGGTGGGAGGGGGTATGGAGGGCATGATCCAGCGCAAGAACCCCCAACTGCTTCTCAATCTTCCACACATGCGCGTAGATTTTCAGCGTGCTGGGGCAAAACTGGCTTAGGACGTCCAGGATGGCCCGGCTCAAGCGATGTCGGTCGCGCATCTGTGCGCCTTTGCAGCCGCGACTGTTTTGCCACGTGGGAGGGGGTCTGGGGATCACGATCGAGCAGAAGAACCCTCGACGGCTTTGCAATCTTCCACACATGCGCGAGGATTTTCAGCGTGCTGGGGCAAAACTAGCTTAGGTCGCCCGGGTTGGCCTGGCTCAAGCGATGTCGGTCGCGCATCTGTGCGCCTTTGCAGCAGCGACTCTTTTGCCACGTGGGACTCTTTTGCACGATCGAGCGCAAGAACCCCCGACAGCTTCGCAATCTTCCACACATGCGCGCGGATTTCCAGCGTGCTGGGGCCAAACCGGCTTAGGACGCTCGGGATGGCCCGGCTCAAGCGATGTCGGTCGCGCATCTGTGCGCCTTTGCAGCCGCGACTGTATTGCCACGTGGGAGGGGGTCTAGGGAGCACGATCGAGTGCAAGAACCCCCGATTGCTTCGCAATCTTCCACACATGCGCGCGGATTTTCAGCGTGCTGGGCAGATCCGGCTTAGGTCACCCGGGATGGCCAGGCTCAAGCGATGTCGGTTTAGGGTTAAGGGTTTAGGGTTTAGGGTTTAGGGTTTAGGGTTTAGCGCACCTGTGCGTGTTTACATCCGTGACTGTTTTGCTAGGTGGCAGGGGGTATGGGGATCACAAACGAGCACAAGAACCCCCGTCTGGTTCGCAATCTTCCACACATGCGCGCGGATTTTCAGCGCGCTGGGGCAAAACTGGTTTAGGATGTCCAGGATAGCCCGGCTCAAGCGATGTGGTTCGCGCATCTGTGCGCCTTTGCAGCCGCGAATGTTTTCCCAGGTGGGAGGAGGTATGGGGAGCATGATCCAGCGCAAGAACCCCCAACTGTTTCTCAATCTTCCACACATGTGCGAGGATTTTCAGCGTGCATGGGCAAAACTGGCTTAGGACGTCCAGGATGGCCCGGCTCAAGCGATGTCGGTCGCGCATCTGTGCGCCTTTGCAGCCGCGACTGTTTTGCCACGTGGGAAGGGGTCTGGGGAGCACGATCGAGTGCAAGAACCCCCGACTGGTTCGCAATCTTCCACACATGCGCGCGGATTTTCAGCGTGCCGGGGCAAAACTAGCTTAGGTCGCCCGGGTTGGCCCGGGTCAAGCGTTTTTTTTTTTGCGCATCTGTGCGCCTTTGCCACGTGACTATTTTGCCACGTGGGAGGGGGTCTTGGGAGCACGATCGAGCGCAAGAACCCCCGACTGCTTCGCAATCTTCCACACATGCGCGCGGATTTTCAGCGTGCTCGGGCAAAACCGTCTTAGGACGCCCGGGATGGCCCGGCTCAAACGATGTGAGTCGCGCATCTGTGCCAGGGTTTAGGGTTTAGGGTTTGCAGCCAGGACTGTTTTGCCAGGTGGGAGGGGGTATGGAGAACACGATTGAGTGCAAGAACCTCTGACTGCTTCGCAATCTTCCACACATGCGCGCGGATTTTCAGCATGCTTGGGCAAAACTGGCTCGGGACGTCCAGGATGGCCAGGCTCAAGCGATGTCGGTCGCGCACCTGTGCGTGTTTACAGCCGTGACTGTTTTTCTAGGTGGAAGGGGGTATGGGGATCACGATCAAGCACAAGAACCCCCGACTGGTTCGCAATCTTCCACACATGATGCGCGGATTTTCAGCGAGCTGATGCAAAACTGGTTCAGGACGTCCAGGATAGCCCGGCTCAAGCGATGTGGGTCGCGCATCTGTGCGCCTTTGCAGCCGCGACTGTTTTGCCACGTAGGAGGGGGTATGGGGAGCATGATCCAGCGCAAGAACCCCCAACTGCTTCTCAATCTTCCACACATGCGCGCGGATTTTCAGCGTGCTCGGGCAAAACTGGCTTAGGACGTCCAGGATGGCCCTGCTCAAGCGATGTCGGTCGTGCATCTGTGCGCCTTTGCAGCCACGACTGTTTTGCCAGGTGGGAGGGGGTATGGGGAGCACGATCGAGCGCAAGAACCC